TTCTATGAAAATCGTTGTATCTCCGAAACCACTTGACGGATTTTCATGATGTTTGTTTTAGATTATTTGCGAGAGCGTGGGCGTTAATATAAAACAAGAATCATTTCAATCCGACCAGCCGTTCTATGAAAATCGTTGTATCTCCGAAACCACTTGACGGATTTTCATGATGTTTGTTTTAGATTATTTGCGAGAGCGTGGGCGTTAATATAAAACAAGAATCATTTCAATCCGACCAGCCGTTCTATGAAAATCGTTGTATCTCCGAAACCACTTGACGGATTTTCATGATGTTTGTTTTAGATTATTTGCGAGAGCGTGGGCGTTAATACAAAACAAGAATCATTTCAATCCGACCAGCCGTTCTATGAAAATCGTTGTATCTCCGAAACCACTTGACGGATTTTCATGATGTTTGTTTTAGATTATTTGCGAGAGCGTGGGCGTTAATACAAAACAAGAATCATTTCAATCCGACCAGCCGTTCTATGAAAATCGTTGTATCTCCGAAACCACTTGACGGATTTTCATGATGTTTGTTTTAGATTATTTGCGAGAGCGTGGGCGTTAATACAAAACAAGAATCATTTCAATCCGACCAGCCGTTCTATGAAAATCGTTGTATCTCCGAAACCACTTGACGGATTTTCATGATGTTTGTTTTAGATTATTTGCGAGAGCGTGGGCGTTAATACAAAACAAGAATCATTTCAATCCGACCAGCCGTTCTATGAAAATCGTTGTATCTCCGAAACCACTTGACGGATTTTCATGATGTTTGTTTTAGATTATTTGCGAGAGCGTGGGCGTTAATACAAAACAAGAATCATTTCAATCCGACCAGCCGTTCTATGAAAATCGTTGTATCTCCGAAACCACTTGACGGATTTTCATGATGTTTGTTTTAGATTATTTGCGAGAGCGTGGGCGTTAATACAAAACAAGAATCATTTCAATCCGACCAGCCGTTCTATGAAAATCGTTGTATCTCCGAAACCACTTGACGGATTTTCATGATGTTTGTTTTAGATTATTTGCGAGAGCGTGGGCGTTAATATAAAACAAGAATCATTTCAATCCGACCAGCCGTTCTATGAAAATCGTTGTATCTCCGAAACCACTTGACGGATTTTCATGATGTTTGTTTTAGATTATTTGCGAGAGCGTGGGCGTTAATATAAAACAAGAATCATTTCAATCCGACCAGCCGTTCTATGAAAATCGTTGTATCTCCGAAACCACTTGACGGATTTTCATGATGTTTGTTTTAGATTATTTGCGAGAGCGTGGGCGTTAATATAAAACAAGAATCATTTCAATCCGACCAGCCGTTCTATGAAAATCGTTGTATCTCCGAAACCACTTGACGGATTTTCATGATGTTTGTTTTAGATTATTTGCGAGAGCGTGGGCGTTAATATAAAACAAGAATCATTTCAATCCGACCAGCCGTTCTATGAAAATCGTTGTATCTCCGAAACCACTTGACGGATTTTCATGATGTTTGTTTTAGATTATTTGCGAGAGCGTGGGCGTTAATATAAAACAAGAATCATTTCAATCCGACCAGCCGTTCTATGAAAATCGTTGTATCTCCGAAACCACTTGACGGATTTTCATGATGTTTGTTTTAGATTATTTGCGAGAGCGTGGGCGTTAATACAAAACAAGAATCATTTCAATCCGACCAGCCGTTCTATGAAAATCGTTGTATCTCCGAAACCACTTGACGGATTTTCATGATGTTTGTTTTAGATTATTTGCGAGAGCGTGGGCGTTAATACAAAACAAGAATCATTTCAATCCGACCAGCCGTTCTATGAAAATCGTTGTATCTCCGAAACCACTTGACGGATTTTCATGATGTTTGTTTTAGATTATTTGCGAGAGCGTGGGCGTTAATACAAAACAAGAATCATTTCAATCCGACCAGCCGTTCCATGAAAATCGTTGTATCTCCGAAACCACTTGACGGATTTTCATGATGTTTGTTTTAGATTATTTGCGAGAGCGTGGGCGTTAATACAAAACAAGAATCATTTCAATCCGACCAGCCGTTCTATGAAAATCGTTGTATCTCCGAAACCACTTGACGGATTTTCATGATGTTTGTTTTAGATTATTTGCGAGAGCGTGGGCGTTAATACAAAACAAGAATCATTTCAATCCGACCAGCCGTTCTATGAAAATCGTTGTATCTCCGAAACCACTTGACGGATTTTCATGATGTTTGTTTTAGATTATTTGCGAGAGCGTGGGCGTTAATATAAAACAAGAATCATTTCAATCCGACCAGCCGTTCTATGAAAATCGTTGTATCTCCGAAACCACTTGACGGATTTTCATGATGTTTGTTTTAGATTATTTGCGAGAGCGTGGGCGTTAATATAAAACAAGAATCATTTCAATCCGACCAGCCGTTCTATGAAAATCGTTGTATCTCCGAAACCACTTGACGGATTTTCATGATGTTTGTTTTAGATTATTTGCGAGAGCGTGGGCGTTAATATAAAACAAGAATCATTTCAATCCGACCAGCCGTTCTATGAAAATCGTTGTATCTCCGAAACCACTTGACGGATTTTCATGATGTTTGTTTTAGATTATTTGCGAGAGCGTGGGCGTTAATACAAAACAAGAATCATTTCAATCCGACCAGCCGTTCTATGAAAATCGTTGTATCTCCGAAACCACTTGACGGATTTTCATGATGTTTGTTTTAGATTATTTGCGAGAGCGTGGGCGTTAATATAAAACAAGAATCATTTCAATCCGACCAGCCGTTCTATGAAAATCGTTGTATCTCCGAAACCACTTGACGGATTTTCATGATGTTTGTTTTAGATTATTTGCGAGAGCGTGGGCGTTAATACAAAACAAGAATCATTTCAATCCGACCAGCCGTTCTATGAAAATCGTTGTATCTCCGAAACCACTTGACGGATTTTCATGATGTTTGTTTTAGATTATTTGCGAGAGCGTGGGCGTTAATACAAAACAAGAATCATTTCAATCCGACCAGCCGTTCTATGAAAATCGTTGTATCTCCGAAACCACTTGACGGATTTTCATGATGTTTGTTTTAGATTATTTGCGAGAGCGTGGGCGTTAATACAAAACAAGAATCATTTCAATCCGACCAGCCGTTCTATGAAAATCGTTGTATCTCCGAAACCACTTGACGGATTTTCATGATGTTTGTTTTAGATTATTTGCGAGAGCGTGGGCGTTAATACAAAACAAGAATCATTTCAATCCGACCAGCCGTTCTATGAAAATCGTTGTATCTCCGAAACCACTTGACGGATTTTCATGATGTTTGTTTTAGATTATTTGCGAGAGCGTGGGCGTTAATACAAAACAAGAATCATTTCAATCCGACCAGCCGTTCTATGAAAATCGTTGTATCTCCGAAACCACTTGACGGATTTTCATGATGTTTGTTTTAGATTATTTGCGAGAGCGTGGGCGTTAATATAAAACAAGAATCATTTCAATCCGACCAGCCGTTCTATGAAAATCGTTGTATCTCCGAAACCACTTGACGGATTTTCATGATGTTTGTTTTAGATTATTTGCGAGAGCGTGGGCGTTAATATAAAACAAGAATCATTTCAATCCGACCAGCCGTTCTATGAAAATCGTTGTATCTCCGAAACCACTTGACGGATTTTCATGATGTTTGTTTTAGATTATTTGCGAGAGCGTGGGCGTTAATATAAAACAAGAATCATTTCAATCCGAACAGCCGAAAATTTGAAAAAATCCTTTTATTTGCGTGGGCGTGGGCTGCGACCACTGAGACGGCATTCAACTCTGGTAATGTCCAATTTCTAGCTTTTATTCCTTTCCAATGAAATTACGTAAATCGAGTGTGGTTGGATATTATTTAACCTAAAATGTTTTACTGTCTTTTCGGTCATAGTGAAAAATGAAGTTTTTAATGTAGCTGTAAATAATTCCCCAAAATCAATAGTTCATTAAGTGTTCGACATTGGATGCTGACCATGTTGTTTAAGTGGACTTGTTTAGCTGAAGGCTTTCGGTCATGCATCCGCACCAGATCACGTTTCAACACGGCGTGGGACACAGCTCCTACGTTTCATTAGCCAGCTTATAGAAAAGGTCCTCGATATATTGGTAACGAATCAAATATATCTTTCTTGCCTCTTCTCGTCTGACTTCTATCTGACTGGGAACGATCAAATATAGAAGGTGCTACTGGTAGCTAGTTGTAAAACTAGAACATCCGTTTCATCTTCAATAATGAATGAAAATTAAATAAATAAAGTATTCCGGAAAACATGAGATAATATATGTATCACATTATATAGAAATCAAATAAAACAAAACATTGATTTATTAAGTTCCAAAATGTAACGGACTCAGAGTTTATTTGTTGGTGTATCAGATATGAAAAGGATGAATAGAAACTGGAAAGGAAGGCTCAGGACAGAGTTGGATGGAGAATGCAGGTGAGCGGCCTATGCTCTTCGATGAAGGGTAACAGGCGTAAGTAAGTAAGTAACCAAATCACTTCGGGCTCACCATTGAAGATACCACCAGTATTGTAGTTTCACAACTCTTTACCAGTAACACCTATGATGTGATCGCTCCCACCCAGTGGAAATCATAAGCGAGGAGGTAAGAAGATACATTTAATGGGCTATCAATATATCGAGAAGTGACTGATCTAATCTGGCTAATGATCGCAGGAGATGTTTCCCACGCCGTTCCAAAACGTAATCTGGTACGGATGCATGATAGAGCGCCTTCAGCTAAACGAGCCCATGAAGCAACAGAAGAGCCAAAGTGTACACTACAAAACAGAGAAAGCTAAACTGACACTTTTCGCATTGATTTTGCGGATTTACTGCAGCGAAAAACCGATATTCGTGCAATCCATTGGAGACCCAACAGAGCGTCAACAACTCAAATACGGAATGACCGACTCTCGTCAGGCATCCAAGGTCGTTAAAACGAAACGGCGGGCAGCTTTGAAAAGCTCTGACTTTTTTTACCCTGCATTGTTTCGTTCACCCTCTTGTTACTAATCACTTGATAATGATTTTGTTGATTGTTTGGCTATGTAACAAGAAGTTCTAGTGGAATCCCATATGCAAAATGCTACTTATGTAATTTTTTTTCGACTGCAACACCGAATCCAGATCCTCATTAATATATTCATCTCACTTGAGTCAATAATGTCGGTTCTATCAAAGCTGGTGGTTGTCAGATGGGCTCATCAATTAGTTATAACAGTAGTCAAAATACTGGAGTAGTATCAGCGAACATGTCAAACATGTACTCCAAGAAGTTCTATTGATCGATTTACAGCTTTGTCAGACGACAGGAGTAAGTTGTAATAAATGTTCCTATTTAACATTATCTTGCTTATATTCCCCCTAACTGTAGAGCGTATTCATCTTAGCAGATTGTCATCTAATAATTGAATAATTATGACTTAGACTCAGATATTTGGTACCCCAGTCTGGAGTTAACAGCGTTCGAACTAGTACCTCTAATTGAAAGTCGAGTGTTTCATGGTTTAGGTTTAAATAAATGTTTAGAGTGCATTATCTTTACTCATATATCTATGAACTTTGAGCAACATGTCAAAGTATATGATGGAAATCGTTTGTGCACATCACTCTAGCATTAGGCGAAAAAAGACAGCTAAATAACCTTACTTTTGAGAACTTCCATAAGTGTTTTCGACAAGGAAGATAGAGTAAATTTACTGCCACAAATAGTGAGTATTTAGGGATAGATGAGCTCGAAGTAAATGATAAAACTAATGTATGATAATTGTATTTAATTCCAAGACCTAAAATACTTGGTATTAGTTATGAACTGAATTTCATCGACTCCTAGAATAGTATTGACACAATACGACGATATTTGTGTATCCTTGATGATATTTCATCGTTGAAACAAACATCCAACCAAATAGTTAACTGAGACAGTATTTAAATTACTTTAAAAAGATACTCCTGGTTTTCTGCTTTGAGGAATGTTCACTTTTCCATGGGTTGCTGTAAAATGACCAAATATATATTTCATTTTTCCTACTGTTTCTCTAAAATCAATTTTCAGCCAACTTAATTTCAAGTATTATTTCTTTCGGTGTTTTAGAAGACGACGAAGTCACTACCAGTGTATGCTTAGATGCTTCTGGAAATCAAGTGATAACTCATTACATACATCAACAAATACAACTAATATTATTAATTAAATTAATGATTACAACGGAGCTTATTGTAAAGAGCAATCAGATCGTATGTCTAGTTCATCATCGGCACACTCTACACATACAGCATTGCCATCAGCTGTAACTGTTTAGAGTTAACGGCGTTGGAGGGTATGTGCGATACTTTCTTCGTCTACATTTTATTGTTTCTTGTTCTACATGTAACACTCCAATTTTTATACACACTACTGCTTTTAAGATTCCGACTCCCTGATAAGTTAATAGCTCCTTTCCAATTATTAAGTGAGTGTACTTCAATTTGTCGTAACACTTGTTATTTGTCGGTGGTTTGTACGTCAGTGGATCTATTTAAGTCTGAATAATGTGTAATATATGGAAGACTACCGTTACTTTATAAATAATATGAGGTCAAAAAAACATATTTCTCATCATCCTTGTTATTGTATTTAATTAGGTATATACTGTTGCTCTTCATTATTGTCATATCTTTTGTTTCCCTTAACCAAGCTGTACTCACGTTTAGAGTATATTAACCTGCTTTACTTCTCCTTCAACCATTGCCATTACATTTGTATTTCTATCCTGTGCCTGAGGAATGTTTTCTCACTAACATTAAATTAAATGTTTCTGTCTTCTAATGCACTGATGAAACCATGATTGGAATGCTGTCGTTCGTATGTACGAAATATAAATTGTGTTACACCACTTGTCTAGAATTTATGTTATGTGTTTCGGTAAAGACAAAATTAGATGCAATCCAACTGACATGTGAATGCTTTCTGTTACGTGAATCTTTGAGACGTGTCGATTCTAAAACAAGCTGCAATCTGAGTTACCTAGTTTAATCGAGTGTTCACAACTAACTAGCTAAGATTAATTAAGGTTAGGAAAACCAAGGATCGACGACAAAATTTAGTATTCCAGGTGGTCTGCGGAGAACTGTTCTAAAATCAAATAGGCAAGTGAATTAAGTGTTGAGAACAAGGTCAAGAATATTCACCTAATATTAATTACGACGCTGTATGCTAACATACACCATTTCTTCATGAACAAACCACGGCATTTTTTGTATTGAATCAGTAATAACAAGAGACTATTAACGATAATAACTGCCAGGCAGTTAACATCTAGAATGATCAACCTCGTCCTTAACCCTAAAACATTCGGATCACACTATATATGAATCCTCTAAATGGACTCATCCCTTGATCTAGCTAATCGTAAATCAATCTTAGAAATTGTCTGATTTGTTGCTGCGGAGAATGAGATTTGAACACTAGGCCAAACACCTGTATGTCTCGACAATAACGTACCATTCAATCAGACCCAAGAAACGAATTATCGTGTAATCTTTTGTCATAACGTCCTAAAGCGCCATAAATGCGATTTGGTAATCTCCATGTGTTTACGGACTACGCGACTAGTAAGAGATGCCCAGTTTTTAAACGTGCACTAGCAGGATTGTCATGCTTCTGGTCAACTTCCAAAGCTAAAACTCGCTTTCTGGGAAGCTAATGCAATGTGACTGGAAAATCTGCCCAATCAAAAGGACAGTTCTTTAAGACTTGTTACTTGTGCAGCCTAGCCTAAGTAAGAACTGTAGCTGTCACAGCTCATCTTACTTTTATCCGAATACATTTCTAGCTTCGAACAAACTTTTAACAAGTAACAGGCACTCAGTGCACACACCAAAACTAACTCCGTAGATTATGTCAGGAAATCGACTATCAGCACTTTCCCATAAAACATGGATTGTTTGTTGCACATAGATAGCAGATATTTTGATCAGTGATCAGTGTAGTCAACTACCATACGTTTTATTATTGGTACTGACCCAAAGATAGCATGATATAAACATCATATAAAGTTAGCAGTTTGTTTGTAGTAATACAATACAGCCTTTAATTTATTTGAATAGCCAACCACTCAGTCTACAGGGAGAAAATGATAATCAAACCGTAGTTTATTCATGGATCCAAGGGTCAACGGCTTGTTTATATTGACATAGTTCTTGTGGAGAAAACCATAAGTTGATTTCCCTGTTAGCACTTTCAGTTGAGTCGGATCCATGGACAACATTTCTCCCTACATCTTGGCAGTAGTCTCCCCTTATTGATCCAGGACAACTTGCTTCAGGTTTAGTAGCACCTAACATTGTACGTCCGTTCTCAACAACCTAAAATAATAAAAAAACATGGTCGGTAGAAAACGTATATTCATTAATACGCAACGAGGAAATTTTAAGTGGTTAGAAGCTGTCACTGTTGAATTAGGAACAGATAGTAAATATGATCGACAGTGAGGGGATACCAAGTGAACACTATAATGATTGTGGGACCTGTTCACATGTAGTGAGGTTTGAAGATTCGTAGCTTGAGTTGAGTCATACTCCCGTGCTGTTTGCTTAATTTAGCACAGTCCTGATGACAAGACTTGTAGGATTAACGGTTAACTGATTTTCGTACATTGCAGTTAAGAACGGCTTTTATATCTAGCTTTTATCCTGCTAGTATAAATCACCTTAGATGTACTACTACAAACAAACAGAAAAAGGGAAAATTGAAAATGGTTGATGCTAACATGAAACTTGAATTCAATGGCCTGTCGCAGTCGTTAAGTGGTATAAAAAGCACTTTTGCTTAATACGATATTGTTTTAAGCATACATGTTCAGTTGAAGTTGGTCGTGGAGACTGGAAAACTGAACATTTGCAAGTTCTTATCATACGAACTATTGATTCACCTTAACGTCTTCATATGCATGCTGATAGCACCAACTCATATGTATAGACCGATGTAACTGTAATAGTACGCAGCGATTAACATCAAAAAAAAATAAAACTTCTCAGATATTTAAAAGAAGTTTGTTCCTTCGGACTTGATTTTATTTTACTTCGCTGCACAACAGTCTAAGTGATTTACGTTTCGAGGTCATTTAAATGGATTCGGATCCTGAACAGTCTGACCCTACGAGGATATTTATTGTGCTAATTCCCTAACATCTTTACGGCGTACTTTAATAATGAAATATTTTTGGCCTCAACATAAAACTAAGGATACCTTTAGTTAAAAACAAGTATATTAGGAAATTGTCGTATGATACTAATGTCTAATATGTGAAAGCTTTTGTTTGAGTTGACAAAACTTATTAATACATATTCTGATTATGAAATTACGAACCCTGAAATGTGTTGTGGGCTTTCCAACTATATTGAGCAGTGACAACCCCCAAATGCCCTAGTACGACTGAGAGTGAGGAGAATCTGCTCTCCCTCTCGAAATACTCTCACATGGCCGCGCGTATATAGCCTCTGCCCGAGATGTGCTACTCACTGTCTTCTCGTGGTCCTACTGTTGTTTACAAAATTGAGAGGACGAAAAGCGAATATACGGCGCTTTAACTGGGTTGGTGGACACGGAAAGTTCACCTAGGGGAGTTGGAAAACCCTGATTTCAAACCAATGGTGCACATGGGCTTCAGGATCCTGAGGGAACAAATGGCGAATGAACCAATAATTGGTTACCGATTACCATGGGACTGCATCTCCTCACGATGCTCAAATTTATTTCGCTGCATTATATTCCTTCAAACCCTTATCTTTCACGTAATGCTTATACTCTTACTACTTCTACCACTATGGGATTTGAATCGACTTTATCTCTGTGCTAATGTCGTATGGCGGTTCGAACTGATGTACGTACGTACGAAGTTCTACACTGTGACTGACTTACATTCAGACTGTTTAGGAGTTGTGGGTAACTGTAGAGTAGCTGAAGGCCAACTTAACTGTTCTCTAAAGTGTTCCGCCCATCGTTTTAAACGTCCGGGCTGAGAGCACATAAGAACTTCGTCTTTTCCCGAGATCGCCTCGCTCACACTTGACCTCTTAATTTCGGTTTCTTTTATTTGTCTAAAGAGTTGCCTATAGCCGCTACCGTTTCCATCTCTTTTGCTTTCGTTGCCCACCACTGCTTACGATCGTTCCTTAGACTTTCAGTCAACCTAGATGTGATTTGTTTACGCTCTTCGTCGTGTTCAGAGCCTAATGGGATGAGTTTATGCGAACTCATCATTGCAATGAACTTAGAAGAAATCTACTGGTTTTTTGAAGTCCTTTGGTAAAAATTACTAATAGATGTGGCTGCTGATATCACGACTGTTCGTAACGGCCCCATTTGCAGAACTCGCGTGGACCAACCAACCACATATCCTTAGAAATTGACGTATATATTTCGATTACCAAGGCCAGATACTTTGGTGACCGGTGACGTGAACATCACATTGTCAAAAAACAATGCGGATTCTTGTGGTACACCTTTGGACTGCCCATGTTGTGAGTCTCACCTTGTGGATTCTGAGCGAGCTGCGATAGAAAATTAAGGGGAAATGCGACAACCCCTCCGCAATAAATACTACTGGTCAATGGTTTTCCCTCAAAATTTCAGGTCGTTTTGTGGAAACTCTTAATACGTTTGACATATTAACACCCAAATCATAATTAAAGATACGAAATGCCAGTATAAGGTCACCTCGCGTCCTACGATAAGATAAGGGGAAAAGGTTTGGACGTTTTAAACGCTCATCGAAAGGGAGTTTAGAAATACCCTTTACTAATTTTGTCCCTACACGCTCAAGAGATTTAGTATCCTTTATCAGACAAGGGCTAGCTGCTTGGATACAGTATTCTAAGTGTGGCCTTACATAGGTGGGATATAAAATTCGAAACAAATCCTCGTCAAAGCATTTAAATGCTCTGCGAAGCGACCATAGCGCGCGATAGCCTTTGGAAATAACCGCATTGCAGTGCATAGTAGTTTTTAAGTCGTGACTTATAATTACTCCTAAGTTTTTGCGCTCATGAACGCGTGGCAGAGATGTACCATTATTGGTATAATGGTAACTAATATCGTGCCCGATGTGCATGAACACGCTCTTCCTGGAATTAACTTCCAGGCCCCAATCATGAGCCCACCTAACTAATTCGTCTAAATCTGCTTGCAGATAACAACGATCAGTCTCATTTCTTATTGTTCTCCAGATTTCAACATCATCCGCAAACAATAACGTCGACGACTTAAGTAATAAAGGTAGTTCATTAATATACAGAAGGAAAAGTAAAGGGCCCAAGATGGTACCTTGGGGTACACCACTTTTGACCGGTTTCCATTCGGATAGCGTTCCATTGACCCTTACTCTCTGTCTGCGGTCACATAAGAAGCTTCCTATCCATTCCTGTAAAGCACCTGTTATTCCAAAGCTCGAGAGCTTTTGCATAAGACCTAAGTGTGAAACCTTATCAAACGCTTTGCTAAAATCTATGAATATCACGTCGACAGACTGGCCGTTGTCTAGGGCAGCTGTCCAATCCTCTCTCGCAATGAGTAAGTTAGTCAAGCATGAATGCTTGTTACGAAACCCATGTTACTCGGGAGTTAACAGGTTGTACGAATCTATGTGGCTTAGTAGCTTAGCCCGAATTAATTTTTCAAGTAACTTAACTACTATACTGGTCAGGCTAACAGGCCGGTAGTTAGATACGATCCGTCTCTGACCATCCTTAAATATAGGACTAACTATGGCGTCTTTCCAGTCTCTAGGTAGTTGAGCCTGTGAAAGGGACATGTTGAAGAGCATCGTGAGCGGTCTTGAGATAATGTCCGCAAGCGATGACAGCAAACGTGTGTGTAACCCATCGGGGCCCGGTATCTTACAAGGTTTTAGGTTAGTTATCAAAGGAAGAACAATATCCTCTGTCACGTGCAAAGGTCCTATGGCTAGTATTTCATTGTCAACGGGACAAGTAGTTGTAACACTACACGTAGGGTAGACTTCACTGAAATAGTTAGCAAATAACTCCGCTTTCCCTAGATCAGATTCAGCCAATAAAGCTGAATTTTCGCTTCACTACGTTTCGTCCGCCTTTTAACATACGAAAACAGTCGCTTCGGACAGGTACAGCTATCGTATGCCAACTGTCGTTCGTAAGCCATGCGGGATTTAGCTATGGTCTTTTTACATATATTCCGGATTTTTTTATATTCGCACTTAAATGATACCTGACCTGTTGACAAGAATAAGTCCCAGAAGTGTTTCCTACGCTTTAACAGCTTCCGGGTTTCCTTATTAATCTATGGGGGGCAATATGATAGCTTACGTGTTGACCATGGGATAAACGGTTGAGTTATGGATTCGAACGTAGACTTAAACCTATTCCATGCATCATCAATCGATCCATCAGCATCGACCGACCAGTCAATTGAGATAGCATAGTCTCTTATTGCCGGAATATTAGCTCTCCAGATATTAGGACGGGGTGGAGCAGATGCAAATTCTATACCATGTATTCGGAACTCAAAGGAAAGTACGACATGGTCACTATTCACCAGTGGGGGAAGGTGTTGAATGTCGACGATATCTTCACAGTGGTGTGTGAGGACAAGGTCTATCAATGACGGATTGTGTTCCAAGTCTATATGCGTCGGCTTAACGATACATTGTACAAGTGTACATCGAATAATTGATGACAGAAGGACGCTATCGAAACCCCCACCTGGAGCTGTGAGCTCTATCCAGTTTATATGGGGTGCATTGAAGTCTCCAACGATGAGACAACATTCTGCTTTACTCCAACAACAGACGTGTTTTAGGATAAAGTCGTCAGCGAGACAACACGGACTACGATATATTCCTCCTGTCGTCACTAACCCGTTTCTAGACCTAATTGCACAACATACTACCTCACACGTACCACTTACATGCGCCTCCGATATGATCGAGTTAATGCGGAAGTGGTCCCTAATATATAATATTATGCCTCCTCCCTTGCGACTTCTAACTCTATCACTTCTGACACAGATGTAGCCTGGAATGACTGGAGAACAGTCTATATCTACAGTGAGCCAAGTTTCGGTGATAACAATTATATCCGGATTTAAGTCGTCTACCATCAAACTTAGTTCAGACATCTTATTCCGAAGACTACGAGCATTTGTATAACACACATTTAGGGTGTTTTTGGAGACATGCGTTCTACCCACACAGGTCTCGGAAGCATCGGCTTCCAAGACCTGACTACCCGAAAACCCTTAATCGTAAGGTTCGCTTCACCGCTTAGCCTTTGAGTTTTTAACTCTGTTAGGGCATTCTCCCACTTGACCCGATCCTCAAGTGGCCAGTCAGGTGGAATACGAATGTTTGAGTCACGAGTTTTGCGTGCGTTATTCAGTAATACGTTTTTCCTCAAAATTACCGAGTACTAATTTAAGGATCCTTCTCTGTTGGGTTTCGCCTCCGACATACCAAGTCTGATGACTTTCGAGATGTGTACCCCTGGGACCTCCTCTGGCAGTATATTTCTGATGAGAGATCTCACTAACTGCAGGTCGTGGGCAGGTCTCTTAGCGGGATCGGTGTCTTTCGATTCTGCCAAGTTCCAGATGATTACACTAGGCACCTGTTTAACTTCCTTAAAAGTCGTGTTCACGGCCTTTGACCGTGATGACAGATCCTGCCGGTTAGCTACCGGCTTCTTACTGTTAGCTTTCTTTATAACAGTGTCATGTGGGTCGAGCGAGTTACTCCCAAGAACATTTGGTGAAGTTAGACTATTTCCATCCACAACAGTATTAAATATTTTCTTACATTTGGACTTGAGCGGAGTTGCCTGATGCTCAGGACGTGAGTCCAACGATGACTTATTGACTATTCGCGCGCTTTCTTTGGGTATTTTCCCGTCTTTTTTGCGTTTCCGCGTAATCCATTTACCACTATTCTTAGCATCCAGATTGGAACTATTCTGGACGATAGTGGTTCTAGCCGGGTCCTCAGTCGCTGCTAAAGCGACTGGCCCCTCAATACTTAATGGCATGGCTTCTATTGGTTGTACCGAAGTACAAATGTTTGCTTCATGTTGCGAAATTGGGTGACTGGTACCTGCCATAGCAGCATTTACGACAGATACAATCTTCATTATCAGTATTTATGTTGCCGGCACGGCCTACTTCGACCTTTTTAGCTAACGCTAGAAGGCTGATGGCTTCCTGAATGAGTAATGTCTTGCTTCAGCAACAAAACATACAGAGCCAATGAGAATTTGGTTTCGAGCACCTTTTATAGGCAGTAGGGCTTAAGCGGGTGCACATTTTATGAAACCACTTCTTACATTCGTCACATTGCATCCCTTCTTCCACGGGGAATAAGCAATATGGCTGTCCACACTTGTGTACAGAGCCGGCCATCTTAGAATAAAGCAAAATGATAGGCAAGGTAGATATGTAAGATAAATCACAACCTTATCAAATAAACAAGCCGCAGTCGACCAAGAATGCTTTGATGCAGTAAATACACAAAAGCAGGACCAAAACACACAAATACAATGTCATCTTTAACTGAAATAAATTCAATTAAAGTGTAAACGGTAGTTTAGATACGTAATTTACGATCAAAACAGTGAATTAAGCTCAACGTGAAACAATACCACTGTCCTTTTAAATAGCGCGCGAAAGTCAAGAGTTTGGGATGATTTGTAGATATCTGGAAAGATGAGAAGTATCAGTACATTGAGCCTTGAGCTTTTACTTACCTTACGCCCTTCAAATACCATTGGTACAACAGGTCCAGATGACATATATGCAGCTAGTTTCGGGAAAAATGGAAGGGATTTGAGTGCTTCGTAATGCGTCTGAAGCAGCTGTTCTGAGGCATGCATCATCTTTATAGCCACAAGTTTATAGCCTCGCCTCTCAAATCGTTGTATAACCTCCCCAACAAGACCTCGTTGCACGCCATCAGGTTTGACCATAATAAACGTCCGTTCCATGATGAGATAACAACCTCACATAAATTGGCGCTTAAGTAATGAACACGGGCAGTGTATTCAAACAAGATCTGAAATATCTTATCTAGACAATTGTTTATGAATACATGTGTATTTTTGACTGTGATTGTATTATTTTTTCACGTTTCAGCTTCGTACAATAAAACGTTCGTATTGAAGATCTTCACTTTGATGTTTCAGTATCAGTTTGGAAAGGACAGGAGGCTTGATGGCCTGTGTTAGTCATGGCAATGATGGTCTCTCAGCTAATCCAGCTTTCTTCTGAAAGAGTCGACGGATGGAGCCTCAACCACGTGCTGAGATAATGAATTCCACTCGTTGATGATTCAATGGGAAAGTCGGTAGTCAGCTGACAAGTAATTCGTTCTGGGCTTGCTAATTTTTTTGGTGTGTGCTCGTAAATTTTCTGTCTTGGTAGACAAGAAAAATGAGGGCATATCAGGTGCAAATTTATCACTAAGCAATTTGGAAACTGTAATGAAGTCGCCTCTGATTCTTCGATATGACAACGGGAATAGGTTTAGCTCGGTCAGTCTAGTATCATATGGGAGCTTCGCTATTCCGGGAATCCGCTTAGTTGTCGTTCTCCGAACCCTTTCCAAGAGTTCACTGTCTTTTTTAGGCAGGGGCTAGCTGCTTGTATGCAGTACTCAGGTTTAGGACACACGAACACTATTGTAGTACCAGTTCATATGTTAGGCCCATATACTTTTTTCTAGTTACTGGCCAAGCCAATTCACCTGTACATTGAGTCATCTTTTGATCTTGTTGATCATTTGCTTATTAACCTTGAGTACTTTTTATATGAGCGCATATGTGTACACTTCGTATCTTATTCATCATATGTCTGTCACTCATTTTTGTCTGCCTATAAATGTTAGTTAACGCTTGCTTAAAATGAGTTGGCTTCCCAGCCATCTCCAATACGCATCATCTTTGCTTCGCTTGCTTACAGTTGCTCATGTGCTTACAACTTTCTGGTCTGCATCGATTATCAATAAAAATGTAGTTGCCGCTTCCCTTTGCCTTCTGATATTATACACCGTTAGGATTGGTATTAATAACGGTTATCGAAGCGAACTATGATCGAAGCACGGCACTACACTATATACAAAGTCAGAAACGTTTTAGCGTCGAGATGACTAAAAGCCCTGCGTATGGACCATGAAGTTCTAAAACTTTTGGCGGCTATTGCATGGCAGTGTGCAGTAGTCTTTAAGTCTTGGCTAACGGTGACTCCTAAGTCATTGTGTGTCTGGACAATAGGTAGCTCAGTGTTATTCATCGTGTATGTATCTGTACCCTGGTGGCCAATGTGCATCATAATACACTTGGAAGTATTAATTGGCGATTGTTAGGTTGGGACCATTCAGATAATTTCTCCATGTCGATTTGGAGTTCTAAGCTATCACCCTTACTTTGTATCGCTCTCCATATCTTGACATCGTGAGCATAGAGAAAGACCGATGACGATAGCAGACGAGGGAGGTCATTCTTTAGCTTATATAACAGACGGTCGTGCGGAACTTTGTCGAAAGCTTTGCTGAAGTCGATTTAAGCTACGTCTACAGGTGACTTTTGGTCCTTAAGAGAGCATCAGCTTTCACGAGCGACTAATAAGTTAGTGAGACAAGAGTAACCTGTTCTAAAACCATGCTGCTTCTCCGAGAGGATCTGGTTTTCATCGGGATACTTAAACAGCTCCATCCGGATATTCTTTTCTAAGATTTTAACAACCACACTAGTTAGGCTAATGGGTCGGTAACTCTCAGGCTTATGTTTTGTACATGTTTCGAAGACAGGACTTACTATGGCGTTCTTCCAGTCTTTTGGTAGGCGACCCTGGGTTACGGATAGAATAAAACATATACTTAAAGGGTTAGCAACAAAGTTATCTAATTTCTTTAGTAACCTAGGATGAAGGATGTTGGTTGACAGTTGCTTTGAGTCCTATGTAATCTTCAATTGTAGGAATGCCTCCCTTGCCTTGTCAATCCTTGCATTTACGCCTGCATCGGATCCTCTTTGTTTATCGGTGAGGTGGTCTAGGTATGTAGGTTTCCACCTCTTTCACGACCTATCCATCAACTATGATTTCATTGGTGCTGGTTGTGTTGTATTTTAGGGTCTCTTGTGTATGCTGAGGCCTGTTGATGCAGATTTTTCTTCTACGCTGATTGTCTTCATCTGGAATTTTCATGAGTATAGGATGGAAGAGTCAGGTCGTCTGAGAAAGTCCAAAGCCTCTTGTTGCATCAAGTCTGTCCACCGCATTCCGTACTTCCTCTCAGATGTGGAGGTCTTCACAGTGCAATCAACAGTCAGAAGAAAAAGAAAGGGGGCAACCCAGTCTGACTCCTTTCCTCACCTGGAGTGCGTCTGTCAGCTTTCCTCTATGCACGACTTTGCACTGTAGCTCGTCGTATAAATTCCGGATGATGTTGACGATCTTTTTAGGTACACTATAGTGTCGAACCGAGTCTCGTAAGGTTCTCCTATTCACACTGTCAGACACCTTTTCATAGTCAGGGGAGTTGGTGCATGGTGACGAGTTCCATTCGATATATTGCTCAACAATGGTACGTATTGTAGATGGCGTGGAGTCCAGATTGACTATGATCACCACTACAGTAAGATTACGCGCCCGAAAATGACTTGGTTCCTTTGATAGTTCGTAAACCAGAAGGCTGTAATTAGTCCAGATAAGGTATATTTATTGCCGATTTCCTGGGACGTGCTAACGAGTACAGGCAATAAGGGAAGAGCGTAAGAAAGTTCGAGCGAACAAGGCGGACGACCAGACGGGAAGTGAGTTTGATACAGTTAAACAACAACGAGTACATTAAAACAATCACTGGTACAATCGGTCATAATAATAATTGTTTCCATTATACCAATCGCGTTCTCGTCGAGAAAAGCAGGTCACTACAGTGTCAACATTTGGTCTGTGCACGACCGATCCTTGCGGAATTTAGCCTGTTGACTTCAAAGTTGGGCGTCTACTGAATCTTTCACCCAGCTCAGTAACACTCTGTTGAGAACGTTTCCTGGTACTGATAGTAGTGTGATGCATCTGTAGTTTTTACATTTGCTCAGATCTCCTTTCTTTGGCACCTTCATGAAATATCCTTCTTTCCAGTTCGTCGGCGCCTGTTTCTCCTCCCAAACCTTCCTGAATAGAACGTGGAGCATCTTTGCTATTGCTTCTATGTCTGACTTCAGTGCTTCAGCAAGTGTGTTGTCAGGTCCTGCTGCTTTTCAGTCTTGGTTCGTGTGATAACCATCCTGATTTATTCGATCGTTGATGGAGAGATATCCATGTCCAATGGACTCAATGAAGCTGGTCTATTCAAGAATTCATCAAGGTGCTCTGCTCACCTGTTTCTTCATTGTGTCATACGGTTGTTACATAGTTTCTTCTCATCCAGCCTTTTCTGCTATCGCTGTTAGGTCTTCCATGTACTTTCGCTTGTCAGCTCTAATGCTCTTCCTCATTTGCTTTTTTGCTCAGCCTGTATCTTGACCTTCTCGGCTCTTGTCCGGCTGTTCTTAATTGCTGTCTCTTTGTTCTTCCTTTCTTAAATCTTGTCCAGGATTTGGTCGTGCTAAGTATTTATGCAATGCAACTTTTTAAGTTTATAGCTGTTAAAAAGTAGATTTGTAGAGCGCTTGATGTGAACTATGAACTTGAGAAGATGCGTACGTCGAGTTGGTTCCAGATGTCAGAAGTTCTATAGCTTTGCCCTCAGAGCAAAATTCTGAGGAAGGAGAAAGAAAAAAAGAGAAAACGAGGAGCAGAAAGGCATTTGGACATGAACGATAAACAATGTTTCACATTTAGTGATGGAACAGACAGAGGTATGGCAAATTGTTAGATTTAATTCCTACTAGCTCTTATTACTAGCGTGAAATGCGATCAGAGGCTCCAGATGAGAGAATGCAGTAACAAAGAACAATGAGTTGTGATATTTATCAAGGTGGAGTAAGTTCAAATGAAGGAAGGGAAGTCAACGTTTTTAGCAAGCTTGTTTTCTATGAGATACAGTTGTTGACTCTTTGTAGCCTTTGTTTAGTTGAAAACAGTCCGTAAGATTGATACTTTCGTTGGTAATGCCGAGCCATTAACAATGAATTTTGAGATACGAAATATGAAGTCTTCCCTAGACTAGGATCAGATTATACAGAACATTAGAAGGCCAAACTGTGACATTACACTGACTTTTTAACACTGGTGACTGAAATAATCACCCTGAAATCCATGGGTGTAAATATTACAGAAAGTGAACTGTTATTAAAACACCAGCTGTCAGTGACCATTCTAGAAAGCTAGTGCCACAACTTACTTTTAATTCGGCAGGAAAAGCGCTTCAACAGACAACTTTACTAACCTAAAGCGACTCTTTAGTTACCCGCTATCTATAAAACAAACTGAATGAAAACTTGACACAGGTGGCGATTACTCAGCAACTATGAACAATGTGGTAATCTATGATGAAAATAAAAGACCTCTAGAGGCCAAGTCAGGCTTTAATAAGATTTTGTTACTCTCCTACTCGATAGAAAAAAATCGCCAAGTTCATGTGCATCTTGCAAGCATCAGACACTGGATGTCATTACTTCCTGACATATTAGTAACCTGAGCACATCCAAAAGTTTGTAAAAGATGAGAGATGACATCGCCGCTCAGATTTCGCATGAAACCTTTAAGCAGGTGCAGTAAGATCCCTTTGAAGGTTTGGTGTGTGGAAATTTGTAATTTGTTCCTACTGATTCCTTCTGTTGTACTTTCTGGTAGTCTTTTCCATTACATTTGAGTTGGCGATATTTGTGCTTTATTGTAGGGGCAGTGAAATGTCATTGAGCCCTAGATTAATCATCCGTCAGTCGGGTCCTGAATATCGTACGGATCACCCAGCTTCAAACTATGTCAAGTAAATCTATTTAAAAAAATTTTCACCAACTTTCAGGCCCATTGAAAGGTC